AAGAGAGAGAAAGAATGAGTGAGAGAGGAAGGCGGTAGAGAGGGCCCGAGAGTGCGAGAACAGCTGGAGCGGATCGTGTGTTTACGCGCGGTATGACTGGCTAGATGAGTCAATCGTAGACCCGTTGTCTAGGAGTCGCCGCCGGGTGGGGGAACTGCTCCTACTTCACTGACCTATACCACGAGCGTTGTATAGCGCAAGGAAAGCACCGCTAGAGACGACGCATCGCCAGCCGATGAGTCTGGTGGTTCGCCACGTCGCGCGAAGACCGGATAGAGAGATTCCTAGAAGCCTAGGTAGTCTCTCTAGGATCGATTGAAGAGCCGCGCATGAATGGGGAGACATAGATGTATTCGATAATTCATTCGGGCATTTTCTACGATTTAAGCGCGCGATCAAATTCTAGTATGAAGAATGCTTGAGCTAAAAAACGAATACGTAGAGGTTTCTCCTGGGAATCTAAGAGGCTAACAATCGAAAATACGGGAAGGGCGCGTGATAAAATATAGGATTTAGAGATTCTGAGATCGAGGAATAAGAGTTATAGATATGGTTGAAATGAGTCAAAATCAACAATTTAAAACTTGAAAATTTAAAAAACGATGACATATACAACACATTTATCTGAGATTTAAAAAATGCAAATATTATAATGCATAGCATTATATTACAAGTATCGCAGCTTAATCGATCGTTGTTTTCTCCCGCTACACCTGTAGTAAAAACCCAATTGTTATTCAGAATCTAAAATATTCGGAGATGAACACAAAAGACAAAAAATTTAAGGAGACATCGGTCTCGTTATTATTTGCTGCTCTCTTTCTCTCTAGTCTCTGATAGCACAGCGTTTTATCATTACCATTACAACATCGATTGCGCTACAAAGCACAGCCTGCTCGACTTAAGGCGATCATTGGTCAAATTTAAATTCAAGTTTCGCTCGGTCCGACGAGGCGATGTTCCGCAACAATGAAACGACAGTCTCTCTCTAATGCGTCCTCGAGGCCGTATTAATCTTCTACTTAAGTGGCATTCCTCGGCTCGAAAACAAGGTAGAGGACGAAGGAAAGATTAGAGGTTTAAGACGAAACTTAATTACTGAATGTTTCAAATAAAGTATCAAACAAAATCAACTTCCATCGCGAAACAAAAATAAAAAAAAAAAAAAAACAATCTTTTTCATATATCTTATTGTGTTAGTTACAAATGTATTTTAAAAAAATCATATTATAAGAGAATGAACTTGTTTGAATCAATATACGCACACAAAATCTTGTAGAACTAAAATACGTTCGTATCTATGATATCTGTAATTTTGTAATCCGCGTACTCGCCACATAATTATAGAGCGTACCATGTTTAAATGGAGAAGTTTCATCATATCTAAAGCAATTAAATTTGACTTTAATAAACTTACACATCTGATTAGTAATTCTGGAGCGTACATATATATAAAGAGCGATTGCAGCAGAGTAATCGCAATTTCACATCCAAATTTGTACTCGTGAAAATTGAACTCAATCGCTTTCAGGATGATGATTTAAGTGGAACACGTAAATAATTTCTATATTTAACGAGTTTTTCGCAAGAGTCTCTGTTTCGAGAGAGAGAGAGAGAGAGAGAGAGAAAGAGAGAGAGCTCCCAACGCGAAGATG